CTCTTGACATCTCATCGACCAAAACTCAGTCACGTGCTCATTTTGAAAACAATCACGGGCAAGCAGTATAGGATTATCATGATTGGCTTAGACTGATCAGGATACACCCCTGAGCCAGGCATAGGGTCATCTCCCCTGAGGCGTGGATACTCCAAGAAGATCAGAGTTCTACTAACAAGAAAAGAGGAGGAAAGAAGAAGAAGGAAGGTGTGTCATTCTAGTTTCCCCCTACCGCCTTGGTCCAAGCCCTTGTAACCCCTGGGGACAGTGGAATAGCTCCCTGACTGGTCTCCCGGCATTCTTTCCCTCAGCCCACCGTGCACAGTGTTGCCAGATTCATCTTCCGGAGACTGCTTTGCCACTGAGCCGTTTTGCTGTTGACTCTCCCTGACCTTCAGAAAAACATTCACACTTTCCGTACAATCTTCTAATCATAGAACGTAAGAGTTGGAAGGCCCAGGGAGCTTGGAATGTCCGAGGCAGGCACGAAGAATATTCACTTTAAGCTGGACTAGAAAACACAGATGTGTGGTCTCACTTAAATATTTATTTTATCTAACCAAAGGCACGATCTACAGAAATCTCCCCACAGAGCAATCTGCAAACCGAGTGAAGCAACTCTCCCTGGGGGTGTACACACGTGGATTCTTTTTTAAGAGAATCAATTTCCAGATTTTCAAGTGTTCTTTTGGAAAACTAGCTTTAAGTTTAATGCGAATATTTTATTTTCACCTTCCATTTAAAATAACCTATCCTGCGGCTGGCCCTGTGGCCAAGTGGTTAAATTTGTACACTCCTCTTCAGTGGCCTGGGGTTCACCAGTTCGGATCCTAGGCGCAGGCATATACACTGCTCATCAAGCCATGTTGAGGTGGCGTCCCACATAAAAGAACTAGAATGACCTACAACTAGGATATACAACTATGTACTGGGGCTTTGAGGAGAAAAAAAAAAGTGGAAGATTGGCGGGGTCGGCCCAGTGGCGCAGCGGTTAAGTTCGCATGTTCCACTTCTCGGCAGCCTGGGGTTCACTGGTTCAGATTCTGGGTGCAGACATGGCACCACTTGGCAAAAGCCATGCTGTGGCAGGAGTCCCATATATAAAGTAGAGGAAGATGGGCATGGATGTTCACTCAGGGCCAGTCTTCCCCAGCAAAAAGAGGAGGATTGGCAGTAGTTAGCTCAGGGCTGATCTTCCTCAAAAAAAAAAAAGTACAGAAAGTTTAAAAATTTAATTTACAAACATTTTTATTGTGGAGAAGTGTAACAATGAATAAGAAGACCTCTGAGCATAATAATATGTCTGTTAGGATAAAAGTATGTAGGAGAAATGGGATAATAACATGAGTTTAAAGAGAAGAGGGAGTGACGTACAGTCTCTGGCTGCCAGAGAACAACTCGCTTATATATATATGTTTTCTTAAGATTGGCCCTGACCTAACATCTGTTGCCAATCTTTTTTTTCTTCTTCTCCCCAAAGCCCCCCAGTACATAGTTGTGTATTCTAGTTGCAGGTCCTTCTGGTTGTGCTGTGTGGGACGCCGCCTCAGCATGGCTTGATGAGCGGTGCCGTGCTGGCACCCAGGATCCGAACCAGTAAAACCCTGGGCCGCAAAGCAGAGCGCGTGTACTTAACCACTTGGCGACGGGGCCGGCCCCTAGATATATTTTTATATGGGTGATGATAGGCATCAAATTGCTCGGATTTTAGACTCAATTGGGTATTTTAAAAAGAGCATTGCAATAGTTTATTTTAAAAATATCTATATTAATAATATGCTGGAAATTACAACCTTTGCAATTATTTAAGCATATGAAATATTATAGACATCAACTAAAAATTTTGTGAAGGGATACGTGGTTTAAAAAATTCTTTCAGGGGACATGCTGAAAGTCTCTGCTTAGACAGTGTTCAAATGCAGGAGTGTCTTTGCACGTGGGTGTAGCTCAGCTAGGTGTAGCCTCGTTTCTCCTGACCTTAGATTCCCCACTGAATCACGAGGATGAGAGCTGCTTTCTTTCTTCCTTTCAAAAGTTTTTCTTACTTGATTGTTCTGAGAATTCGTGAGTTAAACATTTGTTAAGTATTTTGCAATATTTGGCTGAAAGTACAAAGTCTTATTTATTATTGTTGGATGGAAGAAGGTATTATACAAGTGCAAAGTATCGTTTTCTTTCCAGGGCACACAGCATTATCACGCTTAATCCCCGGAAACCTCGTGACCCCATTCTCCTGCGCGGCCTCCTCAGTTACAAAACCAGCCACAAACCGAGCTAATGAGGGCCTCCTGGCAGAGGATTGGCACTTTCTCCTTTTCTTCAGAGTTTCTATTGCCTGAGAGGTGTGATCACTTTTTTCTCGGGCTGGACTGAGAGTCCTCACGTGGTGCTCCTGCAGCGAGGAGGACCTGGGCAGTGAGCAAATCAAGAGGGTCGAGTGCTTATTTTGATCTGTCCTTGTCTACTCATGTGACCCTAGACAAGTCACTTCACTTCTCTGAGGCTCATTTTTCTCACCTCAAAAATGAGGCAATTGGAATAAGTAATTTCTATGATTCCCTCACACTTAAAATTTCTTCTTAGCATGTCAAAATGCTGAAAAACTGCTCTGAAAACTTCAGCATATTGATGTATGTAATTTGGTAATCTGCAATACACACCAAGAGAAGTACAAGTGAATTAAATGCGTGAGAGATGCTGTCTGCCAAATACCTTTAGGGTAAAGTTCTTTGATTCCAGTTTTCATGGTCAATGTGTTTTAAGCTGTTGGATCTATGTGGCTGCTGCTGGCAGTGGTGGAGGTGATGGTGGCGGTGGAGGTGATGGAGCTGGTGGATCTGGTGGTGTAAACTCCACAGTGACCTTGATGAAAACACACGTATGAATGCCTTCATCACAGAGTCCGTTCCTCTTTTTGATTCCCCCGGTACTGCAGCACACCACCTTGCACAAAGCAGATGCTCGATAAATGTTTGATGAAACGGTGTCTGGCAGATAACTACAGAGGCATCTTGCCCTAATATCAGAGGCCAAAACTAACGCTCTTGTAAAAGATCTTGTAAAGATCTCAGGTTTAATTTCACTTGATATAACAGGCTTTCTAAGAAAGCTGTGAAAATATTGTCACTGAAGTCATTTAAATTGGTGTTGCTCACACTTAACTCTCTGGAGAAGGATGAAAGCTTGAGCGGATTACAGAAGGGCCTTTACTCAAAAGCAGTGGAAAAAAGGCCACTGAAGTAAATCCGCTCAAAAAGGGATCAAAATTTCATAGGAAGAATTTGACTTGAACGATATCTGAATATTGAAACTAAAAATTATAAAAATAATTTTATCTTATATGTAACAGAATTTAGGTTATTATAGAAACTATGGGCTGGTCTTTGAAATGTACAAAGGCTGAATCAAGTATTGCTTTTTTTTTTTGGAGGGCACATCATTTTTCCAACAAATTTAACAACACACAGGACACCCTTCACTTAACACGCAGAAATACTCAAAGGGTTTCAGTGATTTTCCCTAATGCCTTCCTTAGTCTTTGGGTTTTCAGATAATTCCACTAACACATGATTATTAATACTTATTAATTTTTTTCTTCTTCCATTGTTAACTGGTCTACCAATTACGTGAGATTCCAAATATTCTCTAAAAATAATTGACTTAATGAAATTTTTTATCTTTTGCAAGACTTACCTTTTCATTTTGCCTTGTGTGAATGGAAATTTACAACTTGCAACAATCAGAGACACTCTCAGGGTTAAGTGGGTAGAGATGCTTAAGTGCATGTTGAGGAATATTTTCACTATATGGTGACTTTTGCTTTCCTCTATCAGTGTTTCAGTGGAGCTCCTGATAATTAATACCCAGATAACAAAGATACCCTGTATTTGCTCAGCCAGCAACTATTCAACATTATTGACAGAAGCTTACTGTGGCAGATAATATTGTCCAAAGATGGCTGTAACAATATTTCTCGTCCCACATGCTCATTTTACCATGTGACCTTGCACCTCTCTCATCAGGAGGTGGCATCTATATCCCTCCCATTGAAGCTGGGTGGACTTCTGTGGCCTCTCTGCCAGCAGAATGTGTTGGAAGTGACTCTGTGTGATTTCAGAGGCTAGATCATAAAGGGTGACAAGCATCTGCCTGGCCCTCTCTCTCAGGACAGCTCTCCTGGAACGCTGCTACCACAGTGTGAAGAAACCCAGGTCACATGGAGAGGCCACCTGTGGGTGTTCCAGTCGACAGTCTCAGTTAAGGTCTCAGACAACGGCCAGAATCAGTCACCAGACATATGAGTGAGGCAGCATTGAGCTACTCCAGCCCCAGCCGCCAGCTGACACCAGCTACATGAGACACCTTGAGACAACCACCTGCTGAGCTCAGTCAAGCCCCAGCACCCTGAGAGATAACGATAACAAATTATTTTTGTCCTTTACTCCACTAAGCTTGGGGAGGCTTCTTTTGCAGCAATAGGTGTCTGAAACACTTACTTTAATGTACTTGGCCTTTTTATTTTTTTAAAGATTGGCACCTGAGCTAATATCTGTTGCCAGTCGTCTTTGTTTTTTTTCCTTTCTTTCTTCTTCTTCTCCCCAAAGCCCCCCATTGTATAGTTGTATATCCTAGTTGTGAGTGCCTCTGGCCGTGCTATGTGGGACGCCACCTCAGCATGGCCTGATGAGCAGTGCCATGTCCACTCAGGATCTGAACTGGTAAAACCCTGGGCCACCGAAGCAGAGCACAGGAACTTAACCACTTGGCCACGGGGCTAGCCCCTGCACTTGGTCTTTTATTTAATTTAATTAATTAATTTATTTTTTGAGGAAGATTAGCCCTGAGCTAACATCTGCTGCCAATCCTCCTATTTTTTTTTTTAACTGAGGAAGATTGGCCCTGAGCTAATATCCATGCCCATCTTCCTCTACTTTATATGTGGGATGCCTACCACAGCACGGCTTGCCACGGGGTGCTGTGTCTGCACCCGGGATCCAAGCCGGCAAACCCAGGGCCGCTGAAGCGGAATGTGTGAACTTAACCGCTGCGCCACTGGCCTGGCCCCTACTTGGCCTTTTAAATACTTCTAATGTACTAGTGCTTTACAGTGGTAGCCCTGCAAGCATAAGCATTCCATAGTTCCTGTGCCTAGGGCTGCTGCCCAACCCTGAGGACCCTCAGCGTGGTGAGGAGAAGGCCAAGAAGTGGGTCTTCATTTCCTGAAACATCCAGATACTCACTCCCATGAAGCTCTCAAGATGATATCAAGGGGGCCGGCCCTGTGCCAAGTGGTTAAAGTTCCGGGCACTCCAACTCGGCAGCCCAGGTTTGCGGTTTGGATCCTACTTCACTCATGAGCCATGCTGTGGAAGTGACCCACACACAAAGTGGAGGAAGATTGGCACAGATGTTAGCTCAGGGCTAATCTTCCTCACACACACTCAAATGATATCAAGATGACAGGAGCCTGGTTAGTGCCACTGAGGTCCCTCTCCATCAAGAGAGAGTCCTAAGAGGATGGGCCTAAGCTCCTCTGGCGTGAAAGGCAGCCGAGCCCTCAGGGGGTGTTGTTGGCCTCTCTTACCGCTGGCTGTGCTGGGGAAGCTTCTCGCCACTTCCCAAGCCTGGCCTCTAGATAGAGGCCAAGACTTCGACTCGTTAGACTGTGCTCTGTTCTTGGAGCATTTTGCTCCAGGTAGGGGACGTTGTAAATTTGAAGGACCAGCACTGGAGAGAAGATCCAGAGCTGGAGGAAACGAGCCATCACTGAAATGTCAAACAGGATGAAGGTGAAAAAGAAAACTTGTAGCCAGAACAACACATGCAGAGCACAGGGGACAGTGGCCACCTGGGGCACAGCCGTCCGCCTTGATCATTCCCTTCTGTTATTTCAGTGTGGACTTCTAGATCGTGGAGGAGTGGAGTGCAAGGATGATACCGTCCGTGGACTGATAGCAGCTGTGTGGCCATGTGCTTGGAGTTCTTACATTAAACAGTACTTGCTTGAGTGTGCAGGGCCTCAGTGGAATCAATCTGTGTCACAGAAGGACTAAAGGACCATGGTGGGCCCAAAATAGGGGAAACAGGTATATTTATAGCTTTTTCTAAGCCCAAGTAAAGGGGGTAAAAGAGACATTCATGGGTTTTTTTTTGTTTTATTCTAGGTATTAGTCATCAGTTCAATTTCAAGTAACATAAATGCACTCAAAGCAGTTCACATAATAGGAACTTATTGGTCTTGTAACTGTTTAGCTGTGGACTTCAGGCATGGTTACATCCAGTAGCTCAAACAATATCTTTGGGGATTTATCTCTTCTTCTGTCCTTGCTGTCCACTTGTCTCTAATTGTCTTTATTCTACACTCAGGCTTCTTGCGTGTGGTGAACATGATTTCGGCCTCAGTGGCTAGACTTGTACCTCCTTGCTTGCAGCTCAGTGTGAAAAGGCTGAGGCACTAGTCATTGCAGGTAAAAAGACCGAGGCAGGACTCTGATCGGCCAGGCTTGAGTCATAGTCCTACTCCTAAGGCTGGAGGGCCAGGCAGAAGGTCACCACCGGTCTCACCCAAACCACTTGGGATTGGTCCCTCGTAGGCACAGAAGTGCTCTGTGATCATAAAGAGGGGGGAAATGTACAGGACCAACTAAAACATGAAATGTCCATTAGAACTGTCCAGCGACTTTGGCCAGGATTGGACAGGGACTGAGACTAGGGGCAGATGCCCCCCCTGGGAGTAAGGACTGGGCAGGTGGCTAGAACTTTTCGTATCCTCCATAGTCTGGGAAACGTCCAGAAGTGGTCAGGGTGTAGGAGGCTAAGGAACCCCCGAATGCTTCTCTGACCCTATTCTGCTATGAAGGTAGGAACCAGCGAGGCGGCCTCCCCGTGCTCCTGACGCGCTTCCACCACCGTCTCTACCCCGAGACCCTTCAGCGGAAGGGTGATTGTGATGCTTCGAAAAGTTTGGGAACTTCTGATTCACATAAAAATCCCAAAAGTTGCATTCAGAAGTTCTCCGTGGGTAGTTAGTGGCTTTAAATATGCGTTTTGAACTTTTTGTCGAAACATAAAATACATACAGAAAACCTACAGGAGTGTGCAATGTGATGAATTTTCGCAGGCTGAGCACACTTATGGAACCAGGACCCAGATCAAGAAGGAAAACATCTCCAGGACCCAGAAGCACCCTTCCTGGAGTCCCTCCCAGTCACTGGTCTCCTGCCGAGGGTGAGGACCATCTTGACTTCGCTTTTCCTGTTTTTGTAACTCCTATGAGTGTGATTATACAGCGTACACTCCTGAGTGTTTCTCTTCTTTTGCTCAATGTTCTACCTGTAAGATTTGTCCCTACTGTGTTTGTGGTTGTCGTTTGTTCATTCTACATTCTGGTGTGGTAAGGTGCCTCATTGTTTATTTATTCAGTCTACACTCTGAGGGGATTTGGGTGCTTGCAATTTGGAGGTTTTACTGCTATAAACTATGAATATTCTAGCACGTTTCTTCGGGTCAACATGTGTGAACATTTCTGTTTGGTTTGTACCTATAAGTGGGAGTTCGTGGCTTTAAATATTTTGGGCTATTAAGTAAGATTGCCTTTTAAGTGAGTCAGCTTTGACATTTAACGATAGCATTTAAAATACTCCATAGCCTTCTTCCCATTCTCGGTGTTCTTCCTAACCGGAAGGGCGCTGGTCAACATCTACAATCAGAATAAGGCAGGAATGAAGGAGCGGGGCTGAGACTGGTCACTCCAACAAAAAGTCACGATCCCTCACTCAGTTCCTGGGTCCGAGCCGATTATCAGTCAGGAAGCCCTTGACTGAAGGGGTGGCCAGGTCCTCAGGAGCGGGACCCTGGAACACCGTGGCAAGTAATGCTGTCGGGATTCTCAGTCATTTCCAAAGAAATCTGTGGCTATTTTCTTGGGCGACTGTACGCTGGAGAAAGGAGAATACGCAGACATTTAAAGGACTATTGGATACAGCTCCTGAGTTGACACAGACATCTGGAAACCTGAAGCATTGTCATGCACCTTTCCCCACAGTTAGAGTGGGGGATATGGGGACCAGATAAAATGGAGTTCTGGCTAAAGTCTGACTTGCAGTGGCTTCCCTGAGTCTGCAGACCCATCTGGTGGCCATTTCCTCAGTTTCTGGGTATATAATTGGGATTGACCCACTTGGCAGTTGGCCTAGCCCCTCCATCGGCCCTTGGTCTGTTGGGTAAGAATTCTCACAGTGCGGAAGGTCAAGTAGAAGCCTCTGAAATGGCAACCTGCCAAACTGCCTGCCCCCAGCAAGATAGCAAGTCTAAACCAATATTGCATCCTGGGGGGAGGGTGTGAGTGGGGGTGGTAGGGATTAGTGCCACCACTGGAGATCTAAAGGATGCAGGGCATTTGTGGCCCCTAACTTATCCCTGTTTAATTCACCAACCTGGAACAAAGAAAGTGACTGTGGGCTCCTGGGAGCCCAACCAAGTAGTAGCCATGATGGCAGCTTCTGTGCCAGCCATGTTGTTCTTGCTAGAGCAAAATTAATAAGGCCTCAGGTACATGGTATGAGGTGGTTGATTTGGCAAATGAGTTATTTTCCATTCCAACTAGAAGAGAGGATCAGAAGCAGTTTGCATTTGTGTGGAATGGACAATATTTATTTATAGTTTTGCCCCAGGGATGTGTTAACTCTCCTGTCCTCTGTTATATATAGTTCAGATATAGATCTGGACCATCTAAACGTCCCAGAGAACATCACACCGATCCATTACATCGATGGCCCTGTGCCGGTCAGGCAGGATGCGCAAGATGTGGCTAGTGTGTGGGAAACCTTGGTAGCAGACATGCACACCAGAGGAGGGGAGACAAACCCTCTGAAGATTCAGGGATCTGCCGCCTCCATAATCAGGGCTTTGCCGGGACAACCGCTCCGAAGTAAAATACAAAGTGCTGCTGCTTGCATCTCCTGCTACAAAGAGGGGAACACAATGCCTAGTGACCTGTTCGGGCACTGGAGGCAACATATTCCATACCCAGGAATGTTACATCACCATCCCAGGTGACATGGAAGGCTGCTGTCTTGGAGTGAGGCCTAGACCACAAAAGGTCTCTACAGCAACGACAGATTGTGGCGCAAGCAGCCCTGTTACCTGAGCGCACTACCTGGCACGGCCTACGGTGTTGGAGGTGGGAAGAGATGCAGTATGGGATTTACAGCAAGCCCCAGCGGGAGGCTCACAGTTCAGGGCCCGGGACTTCAGGAGCAGGGCCATGCCGTCTGTGGCAGAGAGTTAAACATCTCTGGGAGACAGCTCCTGGTGCGTTAGCAGGCCCTGGTGGAGATGGAACCCTTGGCCATGGGGGACCAAGTGAGCTTACCTCTAGAATTGCCTATTATGAGCTAGGTTCTGTTGGATCCTCCAAGTCATAAAGTTGGACAAGCCCAGAGCAGTCCATCATAAAATGGAAATGGTATATCCTGGATTGAGCCTGAGCAGGAGCAGAGGCATAAGCTGCACAAGCAGGTACCCCAGACCCCCATGGGACCCACCACGGATTCACCCACTTCCTTCACTCTCTGTAGGGACCCAACCAGCTGAAGGGAGAGTGAAAAGCCCAAGCGTGGTTTATGGATAGGTTTGCTCAGCTTGTGAGTGCAAGACAAAAACAGACACTGGCTCAGAAACTTCCCAGTGCATAGACCCTCAGGCTTTGCAAGGTCATTCACTTTGTGTGGAAGGAGAGGTGACTGCTTGAGAGGTAAATATATACACTTTCCTGTGCAGTGACCCTCAAAGGGAAGGGACTGGAAGACTGGAGACAAAGGAGTAAGAAGCAGAGGCATGTGGATGGATATACGGGAGTGGGCGAGAAGCATGAAGATTTTGTTACATATTAATGCCCACCCAAAAGCATTCAGCCTTGAGGAGGCACTAGAAAACCAAGTAGACAAAAGAGGCTTGGCTAGTTTATGTTAGCCAGTCTTTGCCGTCAACCACCCGAGAACTGACACAACGGACAAATGGAAGGGGACAGAGGCAGAGGCTATGCGTGGGCCCAGTAGCATGGACTCCCATTTATCAAAGCTCATCTAGCTCCTGCTGCTCTAAATGTCCAATGTGCCAACAACAGAAACTGAGCCTCCAATACAGCTCTATTCCTAGAAGAGTCCAATTAGCCACTTGGCAAGGTGACCACAGTGGCCCCTTCTGTCCACTTTGTCTGCACAGGAATAAATACCTATCCTGGATATGGGTTTGCCTTTCCTGCCCACCGAGCCTCAGTCAGCCCCACTATCTGGAAACTTACAGAATGCCTGATCTGTAGGCATGAAATCCCATACAACACAGCATCCGGTCAGCGAACCCACTGTGCAGTGAGGGAGGTGCAGAAATGACCCCTTGGCTATAGGATCCACTGGTTGTACTATGTACTACAATATCTAACATTAGCTAAACTGATAGAGAGAAGGCACAGCTGACACGCCAGCTTGTAAGCAATACTCAGCAGGGATGGGGCGCCATCCTTCAGGGTACAGTGTATACACCAAATCAGAGACCTTCAGATGTTATGTCACTCATAGGAAGAATGCACGGGTCCAAGAACAAAGGGGTGGAAGCAAGAGTGGGCCCACTTAACATCACTCGCAGTGACTCATGGGGGATCTTTGTGCTTCCCAACCTTACAACTTTGGGCTTTGCAGGGGTAGAAGTTCAGGTGCCCAAAGGGAGTGCACTTTTGCTAGGGGACATACAACAGTACCACTGAAGTATAATCTATGAATGCTGAGTAGGCACTCCAGACTCCTGTGTCCAGGGACCAACAGGCGAGACGAGTCGTCATCGTTCTGGCTGGAATCAGCGACCCTGAGCAGCGGGAGGAGCTAAGGCTGCTCTTGCACAAGCAGGGCAGGCAGGCAGGGAGGAAATGTGCACGTCCAGGCGATCCCCTCCGTACCTCCGGGGATTCTCTCTCCCAGTTCTAACTGTGGATGGACATACACAGCAGCCCCAGTCTGAAGGGTATGATTCCAAGGGCCTGGGCCCCTCTGGAATGAAGCTGAGATGCACCACCAGGGAAGCAAGCCGTCCACACCTGCACGGTGACAGCATCGCATGTGGAGACTCAAGAGTGGATAGTGGAGGAGAGAGAAGATAAACACAAGTTGTGGCCTCAAGACCAACTGCAGCAACAGGGGCTGTGGTTTGTGTTCCTCACCTTCCTCTTCTAAGGTCCCCCTCAGGAGGAGAAGTCCACTGGAAGCCTGGAAGAACCACACCCTGAAAAGGGATGGAGAAGTCAGTCTCCGTGCTGCAGTCTGTGTAGACTGCGGTGGGAACCATGTGGGTTCATGCTTAGGGCTCCCTCCAGGAATGAACCCACCGTGAGGAGAGCAGTGGGCTGGCGGCCGCAGGTGCTGTGTCTGGGAGCTACTGCACACTTCACACGGAAGGCCACCAGGGATGGCGCAGAGCTGGCTGCGAAAGCTGAGCCATCCTCGCCCCTCCCAGGACACCTCTGTCCGTCAGCGACTGCCGTGGACTTCCCCATCAGGCTGGCCAGGACTGTCTCAGAGCCGCCCCGCTCTCGGAGGCTCTTCCTACCCCATCCTCCTTGCCCAGGGCTCACACCAGCACTGCAATGCGAAGACTCTCCCGGCCTCCTCTTCTCTCTGCCCTCTATTCTGTACAGGCATTTCCTTCAGTACATCTCCTGCTCACCTAATTCCATCTCGGTGGCCTCTGCTTCCTGGTGGATCTGAACTGACCCACGAACCATGCTTGCTAGTTCTTTTCCAAGTAACCGTCTTCTTTCTTAATTTTTCTTTTTCTTGATGGAGAGTTTGAACACGGAAGGTTAAACAGACACCTACCTCATAAGTACAGGTACCTGTGCTGGCCCATTTACTGTAATTCAGCTCTGCAGAGGAGTTACAGGATGTGTCTGTGTCTTCTAGAACTTGTACCAAGGAAACAGAGCTCCAGTCTGTGTGTTTGCAGAAGCACAGGCTCACCTTCCAAGTTTTCCAGGCCTTCCTCTCTGGGTCCCTCCCGCCTGCCAGCTGGACTTTAGTGGTAGGCACTCTGTTTGTCACCTTTAAACCACAGCACTGCAAATGCAAAAGAAAGACGTTTCCAGAAGAATAGAAATTCCTGGTTTAAGGGAGGCCCTTTTGAGTTCAGACGGATGTGTGACAACGGACAGAAAGAGCAGTCTTGTTCCCAGACCCGCTCATGATGCGGCCCAAGCTGCAGCTTCATGGAGCACAGGAGTAAACTGAGTGGGCATCTTCCTCGGGGGGGATGTGGTGGCCACTGGGGAGGTTCCCTTGCAAGCAAATAAGTCTGGGTAGGAAAACACCGACATGTGGGGTTCTTATTGACTCTCCTACAAACCTCCCCCCGCTTCAGGCTGTGGGGAAATAGAAAAGGCTGAGTGAAGGTAAAACCGGAGACTGTGCAAAGGCCTTCGCTGACGGGAGGAAGAGCGGGCTGGGTCTCTCGCGTGCCAGCGGCCTGCGGTGGAGGCTGTGAAGTTCGGCTTCCAAACGCCTTTGGCCAAGCTGCCCAGAGAGTCTAAGGGAGGATCCATTAGCAAGGATGAGACTTACCGCCAGATTACGTCGGTCCTTCCAGCTAAACAGACTGAGGCTTCTTTCTCGGAAGTCTCTTTGTGGGGGTGTTCAAACACTCACACAAAAAGCTTTGAAACCCATGTGAGGTTTTTTGTGAGCAGAGCGTCTAAGAGAACTTATGTGGAGGAATCGATGTAACTATTGCTCCAGAGTTGTCAGAGAATTCATCAGACAGTTCCCCCTCTGTTGGTGATAACTGTTCGAAGCACGGGATCCATCACTTCTAACTGAGACGCAGGCTTGTGACGTGAAGCAACGAGCACCAGCCCTTGCGCACTTCAGTGCACCCGTCCGCAGGGCAGAGAGAAGAGAGATTTCTCACCCAGGGGTATTTAAATCAGCATCAGAGAACTCTGTCCTTCCTCACTGAAAGGAACAAGACGCCATATTTAATTGAATAAGGCAGTCTGGTTTTTTTTTTTTTTTTGAATAAGGCAGTCTTTCAACAGTTACAAGAGAAGTGAGCGACTAAAACTCGAGAAGCGTTTTTCCTTGAAACCATTAACTAGTTTTATTTTTATAGACGCAATGCCAACTAGCCAGACTGAATTATATGATCATCTCCGACGCTGAACTCCTGGCCGTGCCATCTGTACCAGGAAGAGCCTTGACCGACACTTTCATAGACACTAGTTACAGTATTTTTAGTAATTTTTTAGTAAGATGGTAAGCTACATCTCAGGAATCTTCTCATTCACTTTTCCTTTGGCATTTTAGTTTTAAGTCTCTTTTCAAATATCTTCAGATTCTTTTCCCTCCTGTGAAATACAAAAATGATGTCAGGTGGGAGGAAATACACAGAATGAACAATAAAATGTCTCTTGCCTGAAATCTTTGCCCTAAAAATAGGAGCTGATGCTGTAGGAGAACAACGAAGGCTAGCCCCTCAGTCAGGGCCCTTGGAGTCCTATGATTGCAACAACAGCATCAGGTGACGCCTCCAAGTAGTTTGTTAATGATCTATTTCTAAAAGGCAAATGGCTAAAAGACTTGTGTCCATGCAAAGAAACGCCAAGCACACGAACACCAGTAGCTCCTCCATCTCTGGGTTCCCTGACTGGGCCCTCTTTCCCGAAGCTTCCCGCCCTCCCTTCAGGGTCCCGCTCAGTGAGCTTATCCTGGACCGGGCTCTCCCTCTTCTCCCATCATAAAGGTGGTTGGTCCAAAGGTGAACGCCCAAGTCAAGCTAAACCAATCGGAGACCTCTGCCTGGGAATTTAGACCTGAGGCAAAGTCCTTTCTCTTTTAAGAGGAACTACATATAATACGTGAGATTGTAAGGTGTAGACGACCATGTGCCACGAGGATTGAAGAGCAGAAAAAGCTGGATCCAGACAGAAGAATGAAGTAGATAGCAGAGAGAAGCAGAGAAAAGTGTGAGAGAGACAGGAGTGGAGACTTCCTTGGGTTCCATGGGGTGTCCTTGGAACTGCTCCTCCCGCCTAAGTGAACATAACTTTTTATTTGCAGCCAAGAGGAGTCTTAACTCCTCTTCCTCCTACTCCTCAAGAATGTCTGATACAGAAAATGTGAATTTCCCAGGGCCAGCCCCATGGCCGAGTGGTTTAGTTCACACACTTTGCTTTGGCAGCCTGGGGTTCACCAGTTTGGATCCTGGATGTGGACCAATGCACTGCTCATCAAGCCATGCTGTGGTGGCATCCCATGTAGAAGAACTAGAAGGACCTAAAACTAGGATATACAACTATGTACTGGGGCTTTGGGGAGAAGAAAAAAGAAAAAAAGAGGAAGATTGGCAACAGATGTTAGCTCAGGGCCAATCTTCCTCACCGAAAAAAAAAAAAAAGTTTGCCTATTAAAATGAATAAAGAAAGAAAATGTGAATTTCCCACTCAGGTAGTCCCAGGTTCACAGCAAACACTTTGATCCTGCAGGAACCTCCTCTTGCTGTGATTGTGGAAGAAATCTGCCTGCTTTCTGCACTCTCCTTCCCCACACCAGTCCTCGGAGGGTCTCCAAAGACTCAAGCTGAGGATCAGGACAGACTGAGGTTTTGGGGCTCCAAAGGATCTGGGGCTGTTAGAGCCCCTAGTTAGATGGGTAGGCTGGGGTGCCCAGCCATTATTTGTAATATATTTTTTCTATAACAAAACACATTCTGAGTTCCAAATGACCAATAACTTTAGGAAGACAACCCTTAAAAAAAAAATAGGGATTGCCGTTCCATATTAATTAGTAGCGATTGCCATCACAGATGGGTTCTTTAATACACACAAGTACTCCACTAATCAGGGTTTCACTGCATTTTAAGTACCTCCAACACATTTGAGTTTTCACGTATTTAATGAGAGGGAGGAGACAACTAAACTTCAATTTAAATTTTAGGAGCATCAGTGCGTTGAATGGCCATTAGATGACGAAGCATTTGTGAAATGTTACTGTAAGTCAGCGGAGAAAAAATAACCAGCATCCTTCCTCTCTCTTTTTTTTTTCTGAGGAAGAGACAGGATTCTGTATGCTCACAAAGGAGGAAGCAATTAAGACTCTGACTCAGTTAAGAAGTTGTAAGAAAAACGTAATTTGAAAGCCTGGAGGCACTAGAGGGTTTGAGTTCTGGTTCTTTTGTTACAAGTGGATGACCTTTGACCGGGCACAAACTTCCCCTAACCTTTGTTTTCTTATCTGTGAAATGGGAGTTCTGGTAAGGCTTGCCCGCGAGTTCTCACAGACGTACTGTGAGTCTGTGTGATTACACATGTGACATTGTTTTGTAGTCTGTAAAACATTATGTAAATGTTATTTACTATTACTGTGACAATTGAAATACTAACAACTTTTAATTACTATGACTAGGTGAAAATGGCTACAGTCACATGGTCCAATTAGGATTTTTTGTGAGGCAGACACTACATGAGACGTTCACCCTCTTATCTGAGATTATCTACGAATACCTACTTTTAAAGGAAACTTTTGTTGTTTTTAAGCCCATGTAAGTTGAACTCCCGCCCAGAGCGTCAGCTCTCCTGTGCAGCAGAATTCGAGTCCTGGGCTCTCTCTCCACCCTCTCTAGATTCGGCTGGTCCTCTTCTCTTCTCCTGGGCTCCAAACCACGAATTGACCTTTCCTGACCAGGCAGGAAAAGTGGCCTCACTTGAGCCCGGACAATGCTGAGACAGAGCGAGAATAGTAGAGCTTGCATACGCTTGACTCCTGTCAACGTGACAAATAAGACGGGAAGAGCAGTGGCTTGAACAGCTGGTGTAACCAGATCTGGGACTTACTTGGGGAGAGGGAGGAGCTGGATGACATGTCAGCCAGTGAATGTCCTATCAGGTGGCAACCTCTTCCAAGCTCAGCTTGAAACTTCTGGCCTTGCACACGGGGGCCACTCAAAAAATATATATATAGTTGTTTTTTTTTTTTAAATGTTCTTTTTATTGCTGTGGCTTTTTTTTTTTTTTTGAGGAAGATTAACCCTGAGCTAACATCTGCTGCCAATCTTCCTCTTTTTTTTCTTCTTGCTGAGGAAGACCGGCCCTCAGCTAACATCCGTGCCCATCTTCCTCTACTTTATATGTGGGACACCTGCCACGGCATGGCTTGATATGCGGTGGGTAGGTCCATGCCTGGGATCACGGTGGCATACCCCAGGCCACCAAAGGGGAGTGCACAAATTTAACCACTGCGCCAACTGGCCGGCCCCTATGTATATAGTTCTTGAATGTATGGACACTACCAAGCACCTTGAAATTTTCGCAAAAACACTGCTGGTTAGTTCTCTCATCACACCCAAAATGATAATAATAATACAATTTGGGCTTCTGATGGTGAAGAGTCAATTTCTCCATCATGTTACACATTTATAGATTTACATAGAACTAAGTGCGTAAAGAGAAACATTTACCTTTTTTATTTTTACGTAGGTATTTTACTTTTTTCGTATTATTTTAGCGTCTTACTTTTCATTCACTTTTTTCCGCTATGTTTTTGAACAAAGTGGTAATTATGCTGCTCATAGACATTTGTTTCTGGATTTTTTTCATCAACAATTATAAAAAATATATTTTTCAAATTGGTACACTGTCTTCATAAATACTATTTCAGCTAGCTACCGAAAACTCCATTGGCTATATTAAGCGGTCAGATATAGGTAGCCAATCTCATGTTAAATTTTAGGGAATTTGTAACCTTCCCCTATTACAGATTATGCTGCGCTTGGCAACTCTGCCATACAGCCTGATGGTTAACCTCTAGACCACACTTATGTTGTTAAGCATTTTCAAAAGTGTACTTTTCTAAGAAAATATTATCTATTTCCATTTGAAAATATTTTCCACAGTCAAAAAAAAAAATAGTGAAAATATTAAAGGATAAACAACTTGCTCACAGTACTCCAGTAAACACCAAATCTCAGAAATTCATTTGTCCTCTGGTCCAAGTACATTGCTGAAGCAACAGATAACACCAGGCAGACACAGCCCCATCCACCATCACCATTACCAAAGTCACCTTCCTATGACCATGCCGGTAATGCTCTTATTAGGAACACCAAAGAGAAGCCTCATAGTGAGACCTGCACCTGAGGAGAGTAAATGCCAAAATGGGTGGCAGCTCCGATTTGCTTTAAGCATTTGTGAACCTGCTCCACGCTGGACACCGTGCTAGACGCTTTGATGTGGGGAATTCCGAGTACGCAAGTATCATGTTTGATTGGTCAAGGAACTGGTCAGCTCCTACCCTTCTGTGGAATCGAGATGAATGTTACTCAGCAGTTTTCTGGACTCTTTATCATTCAACCCTTATCTGTTCAAGGTCCTTGTCTGTTTTGCTCCTCTTCAGTTGTTAATGGTGACCCTGCCCTGGGAATTTTCTCCATACTGGTTCAACAAGTCCAGGCAGGTTCTGCCCGAGGGGCTTCTGGGCCACAGTCCTCTACCATTTACCTGCCCAGCCAAGTTTCCAACCATTCTCCTTAGCTGCATCAGTCACTCAGGCCAAGTCAGCAATTCGAAGGGACAGGGCTGCGAAAAGCAGCTTGTGGCTTCCCTGAGGCAAAAATGGCAGATGACATAGTTGGGGCCACAACCACTGGGCTAGGTGACCACATGTACTAGACACTCCTGTGTGGAGAACACCTTGTTTGGCACGGGAAAAACAAAAAGAAAATGAAGTCCTTTTAGACTTGTCCTCAACGAGCTTGCAGTCCTGCTCAGGATTCGACTCCATACGTGGTGCCAAAATTGTAGTGAATGGTGGGAGGATACCTCATAAACTGTGGAGAGGACACCAGTGGGTGCTGGAAGAGGGACGGGCAAAATCCTATCAGGGTCATTGTGCCCTTAACAGAGAATTACGGCCGCAGAGGAGCAATTCCATAGCGGAACGAAAGAGGCTTCTGCCCTGCAGCTGTTCGCAACCCAACGGGGGAGGCAAGAGAGACTGAGGGAAAAGTCAAAATGTAATATAACACAGTGTTATGTATGATTATGTGTCGAAGGAGTGAAAAAAGACAAGAACAACCGGAATTAAGCGGAAAGAGGGCGAGATTAATGAACGCTTGACAATGGAGTATGGAGGGGAGTTCGGAGCAAGGATCCAAGAAAGAGCTATAGTGAAGGAGCAGGCCAAATCTGCTTGGGTCAGAGCCTGGCTGGAGTGGATGAAGGACGCATCTGTGCAGGACTCAAGGTCAGAAAGCTATGAAGATGGCGGGTGGTTGGGAGTCCTTGGGTGCCAGATTGACAGCTCTGACCTTTAGTCTCGTGGGCAGTTGTTAAAAGCCTGTGAGCCAACGAATGACATCATGAAAAGAGGAGACCAGAAACAAGAGACTGGGGGTGGAGAAACCAGTGAGGAGGCCACTGCCAGCATTTTGAGATAAGGTCCCGTTGTGGGAGTGGAAAGGATGGATGGGTGCAAGGGACACCCGACGGAAGAATCAGTCGGCAGCACTTGCCACTCGTTGGATGTGGACAGAGAGGGAGGAGCAGCTGACGACTCAGGGAAGTCTTCAGTAGGAAGTGTGCTGAGGGGAGGACTTGGGAGCAGGCCATCAACTTCCAGTGGAAAGTCCTCGCGAGTGGAAAGATTTCTTTATCGGCAGGAGTGTACTCTCAATTGACTATCTTATGACAACCGTGGAGTTTCTCTATGAGATAGGCAGGCAGGAGGTAGCACACTGATCCACAATGACCGCACAGGACCAGGGAGCAACTCTTGGTTCACACAGGATGAGAGAGTGGAAAAAGCACTGGGACTTCGGATTACAAACCCTGGGCTGAATCCAGGTTTTTTCACCAATTCACTGCATATAGCTGGAGAAAATACTTTAAAACTCATTGGGCCAGTTTCCTTATCTGTAAAATGGGAATATAGAAGGTATTATCTATTCTTTCAGTCTCCACAAGGCTTCAACCACAGCCATTATTTGTTGAGTACTTTAGTATGTAACGGGATTTGTGTTAAGAACTTTATTTGCATTTTCTTATTTAATCATTAGAATGCCCATTCTGCATTTAAAAAGTTCCAAAATTTAGTGGCTTAAAACAATATTCACTTCAGTTGCTCACAGTGCAAACGGTGGAGGCCGGACTAGGCTCTGTGGTCCTACTGGTCTTTATGGTGGCCACTGATGTGTCTGCAGCCAGGGGGCAGTCCAGCTGGGGACTGGACTTGTCCCTCTCTATGTGGTTTCTCCAACCCTGTGGTTGGACTTCTTTCCTAGTGGCTCAGATCTCCCAAAAGTACAAAAGCAGAAGCTTCCACACTTTCTTAGGAGTTAAGTGGGGGAACGGGCACAGCTCCACCCCTGCATGCTCCTGGCCAAGGAAAGCCGGTTGCCCAGTCTAGATTTAAGCGGAAGGGACTCCATAAGGGTTCGACTAACGGAAGGGTGGTCCATCGAAGGGCAGCAGTCTCACAGACCACCATATATCGTCTCCTGTTTGTAAATGAATAATCTGTGGTTTGGGGAGGCCAGGTTACTTGCCCAGTGTCCAGAGTAGAGCTAGGCACTTTGAAGGCTGCGTTCTAAATCATGGGTCAACAGAGAAAATCTGTACAGCGTTTTAACCTAGAATCCTGGGAGCTGGGTACTGTTACTGTACTGTTATTAATTTACAAAAGAGGAACCCAGGAATAGAGTCTAAGTCTTGCCTCAGGTGACTCCGGCGTTTTGCCCCAGACACTATCCCCTGCCCACTACACCATGCTGCCTCTATGAGCAGCACCCGATCCACACAGGCACCTCGAATGTCATTGAATCTGAAGCTATTGTTCGAAGGATGGAAGCAAATCTCTTCAATCGTCCACTACCACATCTTACAGGCTGGTTGGGAACTGTGGGTTTTCCCTTTGAGTTATCCCATGATCAGGGCAATTTCCATTTCAGGTATCAATTCCTGTGTCCTCCACGATCATTTCTTGAAGCTTGACAAGGAATGAAGATGGCATCCTTGCCCAGCCAATCCCAGCCCTGACCCTCATTGGCTGCTTAGCACCACGGTTCCCTCAGCCTTTTCTTCTCTTGTAGCAGCGAGGTACTCTTTACAAAGCAGCACCTTCCTCCTTGGGTGAGGACCTTCCTGGCCTGTGGCTGGCCTCAAGTTTCCATCCTTCAATCATCACGTCAGCCTTGTGGCTTCTGAATTACTAACCATTTGGTCCCCGTCACTTCCTCTAGTTCCATAGCTAATTTCCCCATTGTCGCAACTGTGGTGGCTTCTGATGACAGCTTGCAAAGATGCTATTTCATGTGCAGTGACCTGTGGTAGCTTCCCCCTCCCGCTGCAGGTCCTGTGGGCAGAGGACTTGCTGCATGGGAAACTCCGGCTCCAGAGTCATCTGGAAGGAGCCCCGCTCGGTCTGCTCACCTTTGAAGGTGGTCTGTGTGGCTGTCTTCCTCTAAGGCAGCCCTGGCTTCCTGTGGGCAGAGCCCATCCTCAAGTAGACGATGTGGGGGTGGTAGTCTCACTTTGGGGGGCTCTGCTCTATTTTGGGCAGTGACAGGGATGCAGCCATTCAGGGAGTCGCCCCCTAAGACTCCCATCTTTTCCAAGGCAAAACTATGGGGTGGCCTTGTCGCTCCTGTAAACTTTTCTCATTCAAGGCAACTCCAGATTTTACCTTTGACTTTCTTTCACCCTCATAAAAATGTTGAGGCATAATACCTGCACTTGCTACAATTCTATTTTATCTAACAAACAGCTATGTAGGCCGTTCCAAGTGCTTTGCATACATGGCCTCATTTGCCTTACTTCATAAACTTCTATTTGAATCAAATGGGGTGGGCTAGGGGCTTTCTGAAGCCTGACTTACCTCGCTGCCACTATCTCTTGTTCCCCCGCCACTGGGGGACAAGGGAAAGAAGGAACCGAGCTGCTCCGGAGGGCAAGGCCGCCTCCTACTTCCCGCAGCTGTCTTTCCAGGCTACATCTAGGGGCAGGGGGTCTCCACCCCTGCCTAGATCCAGTCGGTGGGAGGGGGGCGGTTTTTTCCGGGTCACTGGCGCACCCTCTCTACTCCCAGCCACCTGCTTGGGCTCCATCCCGGCTCCAGGCTCTCTGGAGGGCGTGAGGGACATTCCAATCCTCCCACTACCCGCGCGGATGTCGCGGGGGAGGGGGAGCGCGGTTGCTCTCCCTTTCCAGCACCAGCTTTGACCAGGTTTCTGCTCAGTCCCTGGTGACCTGAGTCACCCCCGAGAGGAAACTCAGGATTTACGAACGGTTTGAAGGTAGTGTGTTTACAGCGCACCAGGCGGCGAAGCCGCATCGCAGGCGACAGAGGCACTTTCTGGGCACCGTCTGCGCTCCAGCAGACAATTGAAAGCCAAACAGCCAAGATGCCTCCTCGCCAGACCAAATATGGTCACAAGCGCTCAGCAGCCTCCCGCGGCAAGGCCGGCCCCGGCGGGGTCTCCCGCGCGGGGCGCCCCGGGCCCGCCCTCGGGCAGCACGGCGGAGCAGCGCGGGGCTCCGGACGCTCCCGGCCCCACGGAGGGCGCGGCGCCCACGAGCGGCCGTTCCTCGCCGGGGCCGCGCCGCGCGCCCTCCGCCGCCCCCAGCCTTGGTTTCGGTCCACAAGCCCTTGATTAAACTGGCTCGGGCCACTTTCCCTTTGACCCCGCCCCGAGTCCGTGGTAAACCCAAAGGAATGCGGGTCCGGGGCTCCGCGGGAGAGCTCCGCGCGCCCCGGAGAGGGTGGGGGTTCCTGCCTCCTGCGACCCCGCCAAGTGGCCAGCATGCTGAGGGGCTTCTGCAGCCCGGCCGGGGACAGGGGGACCAGGAGAGACGGGGGCGGAGGGGGGGGGGGGCCAGGAGGAGGTGAAGGGGAGGGGCGAGCGGGGGCGGGCAGGCCCGGGACTCGGAGGTCATGCATAATTCAACAGCTCGGCTTTCGGGCCCGCCTCTTTCTTGGGAGTGGGAGTTTGCTCCAAACTTTGTTTATGGGACAGTCGGGAGCCGCGGCGGCCGCGCTGTCTGCTTCTCCTCCGCCTCCTTCCCGCGGAGCGCGAACGCCCGGGGCCGGGCCGGGGGATGTGAGAGCCGAAGCCCCTCGGCTGCCTGGCACCGCGTCGGCTCGGGATCTGCCAGCCGGGCCGCGGCTCCAGCCCTGCGCGCTCGCACGCGCCCGAGCGACCCAGGCCCGACGGCGAGTTCGGGCGGGACGCGGCCGCCGCACGCCCCGACTCGGCTTCGCTGCGCGCCCAGGTAGTGCCCGCCGGCGGGGCGCGCTCCCCCCCCCCGGGCGCCCGGCCTCGGGCCTCCGGACGCGAGGGGTCGCGGACGGGCTCGGGTGGCGACTTCTTTGGGGGGCTGCCTGCCGTGGAAAGTTGCGACCTGTCCTTTGCCACCAGCAGTTCAGCAACGTCGCGAGTACAGTTACCCCCTCCCCTCCTCCCTTCCTCCCGCCCCCCCCCCCCCCCCGTAACTCCTTGGCTTCAAGAAAGTTGCATAATTCTCGAGGCCAGGAGGGACCCCTCCCCCATCCGCCTGGTCTGACTGCTGAGCGTCTGCGATCCCCAGGCGCACACCTATCCGTCTCCTCTTTTTCTTTTCTCTCTCGTCTCCCCCTGGACCCCTCCTTCGACTTTAAGTAAAAGGCCGACCCGACCTCCTTTCTCCTTGCAGAAGATGAATCCGGCCTCGGCGCCCCCGCCGCTCCCGCCGCCCGGGCAGCAAGTGATCCACGTCACGCAGGACCTCGACACGGACCTCGAAGCCCTCTTCAACTCGGTCATGAACCCCAAGCCCAGCTCGTGGCGCAAGAAGATCCTGCCCGAGTCCTTCTTCAAGGAGCCTGACTCCGGCTCGCACTCGCGCCAGTCGAGCACCGACTCGTCCGGGGGCCACCCGGGACCCCGGCTGGCCGGCGGCGCCCAGCACGTCCGCTCGCACTCGTCGCCCGCGTCCCTGCAGTTGGGCACCGGCGCGGGCGCGGCGGCCAGCCCCGCGCAGCAGCACGCGCACCTCCGCCAGCAGTCCTACGACGTGACCGACGAGCTGCCGCTGCCCCCGGGCTGGGAGATGACCTTCACGGCCACTGGCCAGAGGTACTTCCTCAAGTAAGTCAGCCCGGACCCCGGGGGGCGCAGAGTGACCATGCCCAGGGCGCGCGCGCTGGTTCCTGTGGGTGCGCGTGTGTGTGAGTGAGATGGTGTGTGTCTTTTCTCGGTTCTTTCCCAAAGATCTGGGAGCTGGGAGTGAGTCTCTGGGTGTTGGAATTGTAAGGGATCAGAAGCAGAGAGTCTGAGGAGGTTCTTGCAGGGGATGTGGAAACTCCTAGAGGTAGGAGGAAAAAAAAGTTTCTGGAGGATTCTTATGAAACGCATAGGTGACTTTACCCTGAGTCTGGAGTATGGATACAGACTCCTGGGCAAAAAATCCTCGCCCTGCCCTGTTCCTAGGCAAAAAACCCTCTCCCTGCCGAGCCCGCTCTAAGCCTGATACCCCAGAGCCTGGCCCATTGGGATGTGACGCCGAGACAAATGAAAGCAGAGTTCCGAGGCCTGGGAGGAGAGTGACTCTTGGTAATGTAGGTGGTCCGCAGCCTCTCTGTTCTTGGGAAAAGCAAGCTGGAAAACTGAACCCTGCCTGTAGGCCTTACTGCTCCCGCTGGGTGACGCGATGGCCACACGAGCAGTGATGTAATTAGCAACTGCGTGGTGAGGTTGTGGGCTGGACAAATAATTGTGTGGAAATTGGGTCAGGAGTTCTATGATGTCTCACTTGGTAACCTGAACTTCCGTGGGATCAGGAGCCTGCTGGTCATTCTTCTCTTTGCGTGTGTTCTGGCTTTTTGATTTAACGAGTTTTACATTAGATTTGAATTGGACGGTATGGGAAAATACCTTCACAGACATAAAGAAGATTGTTTCAGTTGTGGTACCCTAAGATAATTATATTCCGGAGGAGAAACCAAGCCGGAACTTGAAATGTGACCAGTGAGGTCACGAGGGTCAGGCTGTTGATGGCCTAGATGGAAGTTGTGCCCGCTGGACCACAGGGTTCAGGATTGCCAGAGCTGACCGTTGGCCGCCACACAGGGAAGCTCCTCTCCTCAGCAGCTGCCTTAGAATTTATGTTAAAGCCCATATTTCTTGGATGGAGTAGCCTTAGTTTAGAAGTTGTGTTAAGAAGTTCTGTGCTATTTTTGAAACGTAATCCAGGCTTTCTTTGGCACTAGTATTTGATACGTTGATTGCTCTGAGGGGCCCTAATGATGAGTACACAGCGGTGGACGATGTTTATGATAGCCAGCTCTTTGACTCATGCTGCTGACCAATGACTCCTTCCCCATCCCAAAGCTGTTGACATCTCGTGCAAGAAGGAGTTCTGTATCTTGTTTCTGGGGTTGGTGCCATGCTGGGAAGCTCGTGTCCTGAAACAGACTCGATGGTCATTTTATTCCACGACTGGTCTTCTCTCGGTTATGGAGCGATAGTGTGGACGCGTACTCGGTGCTTTGACTTCCAGATGGCTGGTGGAACTCAAGTATGTGATGTAATAACATGAGATTTTCCTAAATGTGATGATATTGTTTTAAAGGATGACATTAGTTTCTATAGTACATAAAGGTCCAAAACAGCTAGCATCTTGTATTGTTTACTTAGGTAAATACAATTTTGAATATTTTCTTGTGGCTTTTATAGAAATGGACTTAGTAATAAACACAAATAGAAAAAGACCCAGTAGTTTACAATAATTTGGGGGGGATCTTTTTTGGTCCCAAATGATTCTTGAATTGTGTTTATGAATATACACACACAAATATATACGTATTTGATCAGGATACTGTGGTTATTAAAAGTATGAAATAAGAGCTAGACTTGTCTAACATCCGAGGAAAGCTAGGAGAAAAGAGCCCCAAGCAAAAGCAAAACAAAAAAATTCCCTTTTATGCCCATGTTTTGAATGATTGGAGGAGCTCAGAACTAAGTTCCTGGAAGTAGGGCAAAAATGGAAGTTAGCCTTGGGGTTTCGAGAACGTTGCTCTGAGCCATCTGCGCATCCCCCGCCACAGACACGCCCCAACCCAAAGGCGAGCGCATCTGCATCTTGTGTGGGATCCTCAGCGAAGAGGAAGCTGGAAAAACGTGTAGGTACTAGGCTAGCCTGATGTGATGCTGTCTCTGGAAACTTTTTGACTAAGTAGCTAAGGGAATTTAAGAAATTAAGTCATCGTGGCTATTGTCTTTCAAGATAAACAATCTGCCTCTCTCCTCTGAGTTTCTTTTGGAGCTTCCTTTAAAGTTGGGATAAGGCAGTTGTTGTATGTCACACTGTGTCACAAAGCCTCACAAGGCGTTGTATTTTGGTGGATTAAGTAGATGCTTGAAAAATGATGGCAACTGACCCTGAATTAATTTTCATAAAATCTGCCCATTGCTTTGCTCCGTCATCTGTGAAATCGGGCTAGCAGTAGAATCCTATTCTTGATTCTGTCAGGAGTTGGGGGTTTTATAAATCGGAAATCAAAGTATTTTAGAATTGACAAGTGTCAGGGTTTTTTTGTTTCCTTTTTTTGGCTAGCCGACTGAGGCAGGGAAGGGTGACGACGATGTGACTCTGGGAACGTCATGTGGTTATTTAAGGGTGGACCCTGGATGGCAGCTTGAATCTGTCGCCATCTACTTAAGGAACAGTTTTCCGTTGTCACCACTCCCACCTTTATCCCCTTGTCACTCCCCCAGCTGAACAATGAGCTTTATGGGAAACAAAGCCTGGGCGTCTAAGAAGCTTTAAAAGCTTTTTGTCATTGTCCTGGGTAAGATTGTTCCTGGCTGTATGAGGTAATCACTTTCTGGTGCCTCGCGAAGGTCACCTTCCCTGAGCGTCCACACCTTCGCTGGTGTTGGCGGTGGTGTTGGCGGTCCTTCAGGGTAGCGTGTAACAATGGAGGATGGGGTTGATTGGGAAACAGGGCCCCTGAGGACCGTGACCTGGTTCCTGCCCGCCTGCAGAGCTGCTCGTCGGTCGGGCAGGGCTGTGTCGCTGTTGCCCTCTTGGCAACCTGGTATGCTGACTTTCAACATGGATCACGTTAAAATTTAAAAGAATTTCTGGTTATAAATGGAATACGTGTTTCTTAAACCAGAAAACAGAGAACTGTAAAGAAGAAAATGATCTGGCTTCATTAGAATTTTCCTTTCTTGTAGACAAATTTTATTTGACATATTCTATAAGAAAAAAAATTTTATCCCCACTCTTAAATACAATTCTGGTTATAACATTTGCCTGCCACTCCCAATTTTTAGTAATAATGTAGTATTTTGCCTTTTCTGAAATGTGTGGTGGAAAATTATTTTTGTCAGAGTTATCTATATACTTGGTAACAAATCCAATAGTACAGAAGGACTTTTGTTGAAAAACGATGGTTTCCTTTACCTGGTCAAGGCTGACAGTGGGAACCTTTTAATTGTTTTTAACTGTTTCTGTGTTTAATTATTAGATTGGCTCCTCCGTGACCCTATGTAATATGCTTTTACCGCTATTTTTTGACTTATCAACTTTTTACCTCCCGATATGAAAGTGAGAATGTCACTCCTTAAACAGTTTTTTTCCTTCCTCTCCCCAATTCGATATTGATGTTATTTTTACTTTGTCTGTTCGGCCACCTGTGTGATTTTTGGTCGACATTGACAATATCTCTTGACGCTCCATGTCGTGAGTCCAGGAGCTTTGGGGCCTACCACTTCTGTAATTCGATTTTTGTCAACGGCAACTTAACGTTCCAAAGCTCTGAACCTATAGCCGGTAAAGGTTTTGTGCTTTGCCCCCAAATTGACCTTTTTATTCATAAATTATTCTTAAAGTTGAAAATCTGTAGGCAGCATTTACATTGGTTACAATTCTGTAAATATGGTTCATTGCCTTGTGCATTGAGATTGGATTTTAGACTTGTCCTCTGGGGCTGGTGTCGGGACTCCTTGTCCTAAACTGAAGTCAAAACGGATTCTTTTTACTCTCATCGGTTGTTGAAATTTGTGTCACCTTTTAGTTTCTTCATATTTGGACCTTGACTTTTTAAAATATTTTCTTCTAGTATTTCTAATTGCTTTTTTATATGTTTACACATTACTTGCTTTTATTATGATTTCAGAATTTTCTAGGCTCTTAATCCCATGGTTCTATCAAGTCTCCTTTCCCTGAGCATTTATGCCCAGATCCCTCCATCTTTCTGTGCCATTCTGGATTCTGATTGCTCTCTAGGCCTACAACAGAGCTGTGGTCTTGGGACTTCTCTTTACTTCTTTCCATACCTGGAAGTGCTGTTTCTTTTTCCCATGTCTTCCTCTTTTTTCGTTTATGCCCTTGTTTTGCTGGAATACATGCTTGAGTAACTTCTTAAGAAATGTTTGTGGGAGCTAAATTTTTCAATTCCTTTTCAATTTGAAAATATTTATTTTAAAAGTTTTAAATATATTTTCTTTCTTTTTTCTTTTTAAAGATTTTATTTTTCCTTTTTCTCCCAAAGCACCCTGGTACATAGTTGTGTATTTTTAGTTGTGGGTCCTTCTAGTTGTGGTATGTGGGACACTACCTCAGCATGGCTTGATGAGCAGTGCCATATCTGTGCCCAGGATTTGAACTGGTGAAACCCTGGGCTGCTGAAGCAGAGCACATGAACTTAACCACTCGGCCATGGGCCTGGCCCCAAATAAATTTTCTTAAAAAAATGACTCTGACTTATTTTTAAAATTTTTTTAAAGATTTTATTTTTCCCGGCTTATTTTTTCTGTTTA